GTTTTTGTGAAACACAGGCCCCTTCCCAAGGCCAGATTGGTTCTTCGGTTACATTCTCTTTCTAGCACTGACACTGAGCTGCCCAGTGAAACTAAGCCAATGATTCCTGTCTCTCTTTTTTTCCAGTGTTTTAGTGTCTGCACCACACGGTATTTGGTACAAGGTCTGTTTCTTCTCACATTCATTACAGCCTCGTACCACCTGCCTTTGACTCGTGAGCAGCTGTAAGACATGCCCTGCCCACATGTGTTCTGGTAAACAGGGTGCTGTGGGAGAGGCATGTCCACGCTGGGGACGCTCCAAATCCACCCACAGCAACAAAAACTAATGCGTAAGCACAAGAGCTTTTTGGTGTTTGTTTTTTGGGGGTTGGGGCTTTTGTTTGGCTTTCTGGGGGCTTGGTCTTTTTAATCCTTCTCTCCTTCTTCTTTACAGAGCTGTCTTTACTGAGAAAAGCTGAATATACCTCACTGGCTTCAGTACGAAATGGAAAACGTTGCGCTACTAAGTAATACTCACCCTCTCAACCAAGTCAGAAGGGGCTTCCACCAAAGAAAAGCCTCAAACAGTAAACGTGACATGACAATATTTATTGATTCAAATTAAGGTTAAAAAAAGTTCACAGCTGTCAGATAAAAATATCTGCAGTGCCTATTGTGAAGGGAACTTAAGAAGGAAACCAAGGGAGACAGTCACCACAGAGGCACTTGAGAAAATGCTACAGTTATAAAAGGCACAAATTCATCACACACACAGCATATATATTCCTGCAAAGTGAAGTCACTCTGTTTTTTTTTTCCCCAAAACACAGAGGCAGGCACCACTGAACACTGACCTGCACAGGACCACAGGAGACACGCTACAAGCGGCAGTCTACGACAACGCCTAAACGCCTCGACTGTCGAGACACTGGGAAAGCAAGACGGCTTGGGCCGCCTCGGCTTTGTCTCGAAGCAGCAGCTTGTTAAGAAGAATCAAGGTGATCTTAAGGTGGCGGGGATGGGAGAAGGAATGTTAGTCCATTTAAACACAGGTCAGGTTTATTTGTGAGCATTTGTGATCTGAGATTTAGGTGGGTTTGCTTCTTGCCAGAGAGCAGCGGCAGATCTGTTGTCACTTAATCCTGGCTCCCTTCCGCATCCAGGTGCTGTTGGAGGACATACAATTCTTTCTTCCTCAAAAATATTTTCCTTTCATGTCTCAAAAAAACACCAAACCTTAAATTTCCACACTTCTGTAAAGTCTACCTCAGAGAAACAGCAGTCCCACTGAGGACACAGGAAGATGATTTTAACAGAATTCCCTAGCTTCTCCGCCAGGCATGGCATTCCAGTGACGGACAGTGCTCAGACATACACCTAGTTGTACTTAATGTCTTCGTTGTATCAACAGCAGATGTGCTATTTGGAATCAAGATCTGCACTGAGAAAGTTAATCCATTAAAGGAAAGACAAGGGGCTGCCTCAGGCTGCTCGCTTCCCTGTGACTGTTGAGTAGTTCATACAATTAGCTTTCAAGTACTTTGGTTAACACAGATTTTCATGCCACAACCCAACATCCTCGATGATATACAGTTGCTATCAGAACAGTGTAGGAGCAAGTAAACCTTTCTTTTTTCTCCTGCAAACTCTTAAGAGCCTTACAAAATAGGCATAGTAACACAAACCGCTTCGTAAGAGACAAATACAATTATTTCCACGCTTGTTCCTATAATCCATTTCACAAAGCCGGTAAACTGCTGGAACTTTCGTGATAGCAGATTTCTCATCAAAGACGTTAATAAATTAAGAACATAGCATGGCTGGCTACCCGTTAAACCAGACTTTATTCCTCTCTTTGAAGGGTTGGCACGAAGAAATTTTAAAAACGTAAGCCAGTGCTAACAGTTCCTTCTACCCACGGGGAAGCAACTTGATTCTCTACCTACACTCGTCAATGTTCTCATCACACGGGCATCCACATACACAAAGTGCCACAGATTCCTTTTATGTGGAAGATGTCGAGAAAAGAGCAGCAAATCCTTCTTTTTATTCCCATAGTGGTGATAAGCTCCACAGCATGACCGTAGCACGACACGGCTGCAAAGACAAGGAGAGCATTCCTAATGCCGTGGCAGTCTGGAGGGAAGACAACAGAAACTTTGCGGTGCTAATGCAGATGTTTCAATTCAGACCTCCCAGCTCCATCAGATTTGGGTAGAAATCTCAGGGGATCCAAATTTAATTTGAGATTTCAAGTCGCACTTACTTTTAGTTGTGGTTTGTGTTTTTTTTTTTTTCACTTTAAAACTAAGAATAAAAAAGGTTTATAAAGATATACACTTTTTTTTTAATTGGCCAATCTCATGAAAAGCTTTGGTTATGATTCAGTTCAGTCCCAACTACACCTGACTTCCGTTTTACCTTGGATTTTCTGCCTCTGGGGCCCACAACATTTTCTTGTTAGACTGGGAAAAACCTCTGCCAGACTCAGGAGCAAAGAGAGAGATACATACATTTTGGACAAAAATAAAAGCAATTTATCCTCATTCTTCTCATGGATCTGCTCCCCTTGAGAGTCCTGCAGAGTATTTGTAGGGCAGAAGCTGGATTTGAATTCCAAACAGTTTTGGCAGAAAAATCACCTGCCAATGCAGTAGTTCTTCCTAAGTTATGTGTTCACCGTCTAGCACTTACAAATGTTGGGCCAAGACTTTAAAAATGTCTTCCCAAATTTAGGCTCCTCTGTTCATTTCTGGCCTGAGAATTTTTGCAAAAGCTCCGGACAGGCACAGTTCCCATTCAGCCTTCGGTTGCTAATTCATTTAGTAACTAAACCACACGGAGAGAAAGCCACGTAGAAGCACTGTGCGGTAGGTGAGCATCCCAGCCAATTAGCGCCCTATGGGATACGATGGGAAAGGCTGCACATACGCCGCTGCACCGGGTTTCTGACTTGAAGATATTTACGTCTGCAAGGTTCCCCTATGCATTTCAGAAGGCTGTTACGAGGATATTTATTTCTGAGAAAACCCAAGCTGCTGCTGCAAGAAGATTTTTAAGCGGCACATCAAGTTAGAAAGAATGAAACCAAAGGGCCAGGAACTGATGGTGGCTCACAGATACTACAGCCATATAAGGAGTCCAGTGGATTTCCATGGGACTATTGGGAGCACGACGTACTACTCGGCACAAGCAAGATCAGACACGAGCCCAAAAACTCTGCCTGAGATGGGTGATACAGCTCCTCTACCGTCTGCTCACACCAGCGATGAACATATTACTATACTTCCCCCCGTGGCTTTTTACTGCCATGTAATTCTGACGTATAAATTGGCGCTGGCTGAAGGGAGAAGAGCAGCAAACAGGCTCAGAAAAATTCCAGACATCTCCAACTTCACGTGCACCAAACCCTGTTCTCAGTTATACCTGCCTCTTCCTGCTTGGTGTCACACCTAGAACAAGGTACTGTCATGTTGACAGGCAGGTACCTAAGGTTTTGGTGGTTGGTTTTTGTGGGGGTTTTCTGTTTGCTTTGGTTTTTTTTCTTCTTTCTTTCTTTATTTTTTACATTTTGTGAATGGTACCAAGCCAGGGAGGGCAGAAGCACGTGCACGTGACTACCCTATCCCTGGTTTTCCTTGGTCTCGCTATCATTTAGATCCCTGATTAGTTACCAAAAGTGCACAGTCAGTACAACCAAGCACAGCAGGCAGAAGTGGAAGTGCCAATCCCATCAATAGGGTTGCTAGGAGAGACAAACTCGGAACCAGCTTCAGCACAAAGCAAGTGTTTGGGGGGCAGTTAAGTTTTTGCAGTGGTTGTTTTTTTAATGAGTTTGAAAATGTAGCGGTAGCACTGTGCCCTACCAGACAAGAGACAGCCTCAAGGTGTTCAAAGCATAAATTTAGGTAGGGGAAAGAAAGGAAGGAGAAAAATAAATATGTAAAAGGGTTTGGTTTTGGGGTTTTTTTGGTTGGTTTTTTTTTTTTAATGGACAGCTTTACAACTTCCTGGGGTAGGCAGAGGTTAATTTGTTCTCTTGCTAATTTGCAGCAACTGAGGGAGGTAAAGGAGGACCTTGGAGGCAAAGAAATGTCAGAGAGGGTGAAAAAGATTCTAGGGGCTGTGCCTGCGCATTGGGACAAGGTTCCCTGTTCATGCTCAGGTCCAGCAGCCTGATCTGCCACACTGCTGTACACATCAGCTATCATCTGGAGCCTGCCAGTTTTCTAGGGAGAGGAGATCTAATCCCCCACAGGGACAGGCTCGGCTGGGACACACGAGCTCTGCTCTTCTAGGCAGAGGCTGTGAACACAGCTGGGGAGCCTGAAATTCAACCACATTGCCAAAGGCAGTAAAAACATTGCCCTTTAACTCACTGTAGGTCCAATATTCCACTGGAAACGCCAACAACCTATGGCCACACTTGCATAGTTCGGATGGGTAAATTTAGCCTGACTTGTCCCTTAGGTGCTGTCTGGGCTCTGGACAACTGGGTGAAAAATAAAAACACTAGAATGATCCTTACCAGCAACTTGCATGAACTAGTTAATTATTGTTTAAGCTACGGATTTCTTTTCTCAGTCTACTACCCAGGAAGGCAGAAATCCTTTGTTTACAACTAGAGATGGAAGTGCCTGTGAAGATGTAGAGTTCAGGGTCTGGATTCAGATACAAGTGTAAAAATAACTGGAAATCTCATCAGAACAGGCTTTATAGAAGTATTTTGTCACTTCTGTTCCGAGATCTGGATAAAAACCTCAAGGTGATAACGCTTGGCAGGGTGTTCTAGAAATTCAACAGCCAAAAAGTTACTGCTAGAAGTAGGCCTCGACTCAAGGGGTTCTTTTTCAATATGGATCCCTTCCCTTTATCCCTCCCCTGAAGCCTCATCTCTCTACTGTTTTCCCCTCTTCCCCAGTCCTGATACGATTTTGGAGACAGGGAAGTACAAACCAAAAACAACTCTGGAAAAAACAGAAAACCGCTCAAGCGTGTGGCTTCACGTTGGCACCTTTTTCAGTTTTGAACCAGAAGTCCCTTTTTGTAGGCAAATAAGCCAGCTGCAGCCACAGAGGTGAGGAAAGTGGAAAATCCAATCAGCTTTAGCAGTCCCGGCACAGAGGGCAAGTTCCTCTCCCAGAAGGTTGTAGTGATGGGCAAAGCTGGAACATCCTGTGGGGAGAGCATCCGTTATCAACATAACAACCCCACTGTGAGAGGAAGGATGTAAATTAAGAGATTCTTGTGGCAGAAACAGAACTGGGTTGAAGCAGTTCATGTTACCAAGAAGTGTATCAAAACTTTCTGCTCAGTTAAAGGGGCGAAAAGACACATGGAAAGGATTCACAGCCCGGTTAAGAGCGCAATTCCTTTTGACCTCGCATTAGGGTTGTCAGTTGGGTGCCCTTCTCTGTGTTTCTACCATGTTCCTGTTTAGGGAAGGGCAGTTTCGGTGAGTAAGGCAAAGTTTACCATGGCTTTGATTTAGTAAATGTAAATAAAAACAGAAGAAAAATTTTATCTCATCAGCAAGACTGCAGGAAAAAAATACCCATTTCATCTACTCACAATTGATTCAGGTTCTGGCTTCCAAATCTCACTGTCTGGGATTTTCCTCATAGCAAACAGGATCTGAAAATAAATAACATTCTCTAGTAAGTCTCATTCATTCTTTGAAAGGGAAAAAGTGCTGGCTTCAATTTTTGTTTCAAAATCGCCTGATGAAGACACCAGTAGAGCACAGGAATCGCTGTGTCTGAAATTTTAGAAAAAAACCTCTGTACAACTCCTTTCTGGGGAGGCCTGGTATTTAATAAGACACTCCTCCTAGTGGAAAATAGAAACAGTAACAGAAAAACCTCTCTGTGCTTAGTCCATGTGAGATATCAGAACTTGACTAGTCCCATGGGAACAGGATAATATGAATGTGACTAAGAGTGAAGTGTACATTCGCAGCAAAATGAGGCGTGCATAAACCTGCTACTGCACAGGCAAGCTATATAGCCAGGAGTAGCTTGTTTTGCAAATGTTACCAGGATGTAGGAAGAGGAACAGAATCCTGAGAATGCTGACAGATCACCACTTTCAGCCAAAAAAAAGCAAGACTAAAAAGAAAACCTTCATAATGGAAAAGTTACCATTCAAAGTATCAAAGAGACCAGAGATCAGTAGGACAGCAAAGCTATTCTGAAATCATAGCCATGAAAGACAGCAAGATTAACTTCTTCCATAGTAAAATAAAATGGAGGTGGTGATATTAATGTTTTTCCTATTCCAGGCACCTGTAGACTTACGATTTGCCATCTTTTATGATGGGCTTTTATTCTAGACGAGAGCCATGGACCCCGTCAACTTTTCAATACAGGAGAGTGGGAAACACCCTTGCTCTAGATTTTAAACATATTTTCCTTTCACAAGTAAATGAGGAAAGGAAAACATCAAAATTTTGACCAGTCAAGCTCACTTGCCAACTTGTCTGCTGAGCCTACAGAGGTTCTGCTGTCATGTCATTAACATCAGAGAGGTCGTGAAGCATCACCTCTGGGGGTTTTCAGGAAGAGGTTAGGTCTTACCTTCACAAGCGTGAGAGTTTACGGACAGCTGTTCCCTGTCTTTTGGGGCAGGGGTACGGTCTAAACAAACTCTCCAAATCCAGGCCAATTTCTCTCCCACTACTGTAGTTTTTAGCCACAAGGTTCCCTTCACCTCATAAAACAAAAATGAAATTTCTTTTGCTGCTCCATAAAGTGTAACAGTCCTGAGAATATTTGTGAAATTGGCATTTTCTGGGAAGCAAAATAATCAAAGTCCTTGTTTAATAACTTTATGTAAGGCTGTCTCAGTGGTATATCACTGTGTCCATGGCATTGCTGGAAACAGCTGAGGAAGGGACTGTCTTGGTGTGCAGAGCTGCAGAACCCAGCAGTTCCTCACGAGGCTGGTGGCCATAATCTCTCAGTACAACAGCTAACAAAGCGCCCATTCGGGGGCAAAAGAACGCCTGAGTGAGATTTGGGATTTCTGTTAAAGAAGAAAGGATTTAATTCCTAGAAATAGAGAAGAGTTTGACGAAATAGCCAGAGCCCTTCCTAAGCATTCCAAATCAGAATGCAAAGCGTTCATCCTTTGTGAAGTCTACCCCCTTTGCAGGGATTTGCATCAACATTTCAGAACGCCTGAAGCTGTCAACACTCGGTGCCCATTTCACATCCAGCCGGAAGATATTTTATTTTCCACAGGACATCTGACAGTGCCCCCCGTTTTAGGCTTGCATCCGTACCTCTCTGGCTGCTCTTTCTCCAGCCTGCACAGCCCCCTCCATGTATCCGCTCCACTCTGTGGCCGTCTCTGTGCCAGCAAAATAGATCCTGCCAACGGGCTGCCGGATAATCCTGGAGGGGGACAAGCAGAAAGTCACATCAGCCCTATCAGGAAAGATAACTGAAATCCTTCTGTTAATATTAGAGTAAGTGTTTTAAGTGATAGCGACCACTTAAAGACAGTAATGTTGGGTGAGTTGAGCTTGAGGGGGAGTCTGCACTGCGTTTCATTTCTGACACTAAGCACACCAGCGTTCACATTTTCTAAACTCTTTACGTTGCTGGGAGGTGTAAAGGACAATTAGTTTGAAATGAGCCTTATTTTATTTCAAGACTTTAGCCCGTGTCATAAATACCAATGGCTAAGCATTACTGGCACAGCGTGGCATTCTGAAGTACATCCCCATGATATCTAAAGTAACAGGCCAATTGAAAAAAAACAAAACCCAAACCCTAAAGAGATTTTTTTAAAAAATCTATTTTTGCCAAAATTTGCAATAATTGTCATTAAAAGTACTTTAAATACTAACGCCTCCATATGCTCTTCATTACAGCTACTTTATTGCTCTAAGTTCTTTTTAAATTATAAAAACTTACACTTCAGAAGTAGGGCTATGCCAGCACATTAAGAACTATGCACCTGAATCCAATCACTGGTCTGACCAGTACGCCTTTTTCTTCTTGGCAAAGCTTATTTTCATACAAAAACTTGTGTCAGAGAGGACTGTATACAACGGCACACTGACTACTGTATTAAGCCTTGACTGCTAAAAGGAAAGGAACAGTACAAAGAAATCACTCATTACTCTCAGTGTTGGTAAGAATTAACTCTCTGCTGGTATTTAATAAAACACCGGTTAAAGATGTGCCGAAAACGGTAACACCGATCTCAAATACCCAAAGCTGGTTTTGTAAACAGATTGCGAAAGCTTCCCAACTCCCTTCCAAGAACCTCCTCAGCTGCATTCACTGAATAACAGGAGTGAATAAAAACCCCTAATGATACTGCACTCATCCATCATAAAGTCCAACTGAGACAAGGGGAAGGTTAAAATATCCGTTTTAAATATTTCCCAGTGATCCTACAGGTATGAAGCGAACAGTGACAGAGGATTTATGACCCTTTCTGAGGATATTTATTAACTTGGTCTTATCTTACTACTCCAAAGCCCACTACAAGTAGACACCGTACCTTCCATATTGAGTCATTATGCCTGGTGGGAAGTAGGCTGTGTAGCAGCCCCCCGAATACTGCTCTTCACACCAGTTCTTCTCTTCATAATGCACTGGCTGTAAAACAGAGATTAATTCACTCAAGGAAAGGACAAAGTCCCGAGGAAGCTAATAAAAGAACCGAGGAGACAGCAGAGAAGAACAGCTTATGATTTGTTGCATGTCAACATCTGACAAGATGAGACATTTAACAAGTCTCTTAATGCAACATGGATCTGACACAATAAGCTTTAATTTCAGACACTGCTAGCTATTTAAAAAAAAAACCAACTAGCTAATCTGGCCACCGTAGAACATAATCCTCTTAATCTGTCAATGTAAATTTATGCTTTGAGCATAAACTTATGCTATGAGCCATGTAAAGCAAAATTAACCCCTGGCATACACAAGTATAATACTTGAAACACACACACCGGATACACTGTTAAAAATGTCACGTATGGCACTTGCATGGTTCTGCACACAACACCGTTGTGTTTATGGTGACGTAATCTCGAGATGGGTGTCTGTAGCATTTAACTATAGCATGAAATTGCCCTTAAAGGATAAACAGCATTTATCACACAAATCCTATCCTTTGCCATTACAGGGAAAAGAAGGCAAAGGAAAGGCAACAAAAATCACAGGCAGCAGTGGATCTTGGCAACTAGTAAGAGAGTAGAAACATTACGCTCAACACAAACAGGGGGAAAGGCAAGCCGGTCACATCTGAAAACAGTTGAGAAGCATGGTGGCTAAGCACTGTGGATGCCACCCACAAAGCTGGACAAGGAGATATCTGTTTCATAAGCTCATTCACATCCTCATCATCCAACTCAACCCCCAGACTTGCCATAACCTTCTCTCCGCTCTCTACAGAGGGCAGCGAGCGCTCCTGCAGCAGGTACCTTTCCCAAAACACTATGCAGCACTGTGCCGGAGCACTGCTGCATTCTGGTTTCATTCTGACCTTCGCCAGCTCAACAAGTCTGACAAGAGACCCCGTGGTTTAGATTTTGTGCTTACATGTAAAGCTTCCTCTGCTCCCAGAACCTTTGCATAGAGCTCACAAAGCCTCGTCTTCCTGCAAAAGAAAAGCAACAGAAGACTTCTGCATGAGGAAGGAGAAGGCAAACCACCTCTAATATGTCCACATTTCAAGAGAACAAGTATTAATATCTGCTTCAACTTTAGGTTCCAGCTTTTTGGGATCTATCGTATTGGTCAGCCACTGGGTCACTAGGAATAGCTCACTGAAACTCCTGTGCTGCGTAAGTGCTGGTTTTATCAGCAGTTATGAAAGCTGTTCCCTTAAGATACCTCTAGTGGCCCAAATCCATACATTATCCAAAGGTTCTTGAGGCTGTCAGGAAAAGAAAGTAGCAAGGCGTTGCACTTCTTTGTCTTGGCACATACTGTAACTTACGGTTTGTTCCTACAAAGAATTGGGTATTGATATCTGAACGCTCTCAGGGAATCAGTACTTTACTTCTGTATCTATAAAATTTCCTCCTGTTTTAGTTTATGAGTCTATAAATCCATGAATCCACTTCATTCTGTAGCAAATCCCAAGTGCAATTAAGTTTGTTCTTACAAGCTTTTTGGGTCTGTTTACTGTTAGCCGCACGGCACCAATTCCCAAACACAGGAGGATGAAGATGAAATAAGAGTTAACAATTGTGAAATACAAACACACAAACACAGCACTGGAAAGACAATTACTTCTGGAAGAAGATCCTCTGCTCCTCAGAAAGCCATGGTGGGCACAGAAATACAGCAGAGCAACTCCATGGGCTACACTTGCAGCTCTATAAGCACACGAGGAAGCCATATCTATACTGCTGTACGGAGCAACCCAGCTATGCCCATGAGCAGCTCAACTCGGAGTGCTATGGAAAGGGGAAAAGGAGAAAATAAACCAAACCCAAACACAAGGTGACCTGAAGAGCCTTGAAGAAGGCGCCCTCCTGTGCAGGCTGGGGTGTGAGGAGGAAAGTGAAGGCTGCGGCTGCTACAGTTCAGGAAGAGCCGTGGCCCTGGGGTGATTTTGCTGCTGGCAGGTGGCAAGCCCAGCAGCAGCAGAGGGGAAGGAAGCAGCCCCTTCCTTGTGCCCTGGGGCAGAGAACAAGGGTCCAGAAGCAGAAATGCATGGTTACACTGACTGGCCAGGAGGGCTCAGAGAGCTGCAAGATCTATATATGAACAAGGGGTAACGGGTTTAGACAAGGGGTAACAGGTTTAAATTGAAAGTGAGGAGGTTTAGATTGGATATCAGGAAGAAATTCTTCACAGAGAGGGTGGTGAGGCACTGGGGCAGGTTGCCTAGAGAAGCTGTGGATGCCCCATCCCTGGAAGTGTTCAAGGCCAGGCTGGATGAGGCTTTGAGCAACCTGGTCTAGTGGAAGGTGTCCCTGCCCATGGCAGGGGAGTTGGAACTAGATGGTCTTTAAGGTCCCTTCCAGCCCAAACCGTTCTATGATTCTATTAACATCCCTCTGCAGTCAGGGGTGACGTGAATCCAGCAACAACCGTAACAAAAGGGATCATTTCCTCCATCTCTCTCTAAGCAAGGTGACCACTGTGCCCTGCAGACCACCAGCACCTACCCAGTGCCTGAACAGAATAAAGCCATTTTAACAGCACGATCCAGCAAAGCCTCTGCTGAGGTCTGCCCATCACCTCTCAAATGCCCACCGGCTCCTGCTTTCAGGGCAGGTCAGTAACACCACAAGGCTCCACAGGAAAGTGCATTATCACCTCGGGATGCATCTGCTTCTGCTCCTCCCAGCACTCCGACAGGGGTGAGAAGGACCTGCCTTTTTCCACATGTGACTTGCAGACCCTCCAGGAAGCCTGGCAACGGCATACCAGAGCTGACAGGGATTCTTATGTACAGCCAACTGCAGGGCTCCAAGAAGGTGCAAGTTCACTGCTGTTCGCTAACTACATTGCGTATACAGATAAAGTTAGTTAAAGATAGCCATGCAAAAGAAAATACTAAGCTTCATGTCAAGGGCATCTTCAGACTCTTAAGAAATTTAGGCCATGGAAGAATTATTCGTCAATAATAAAGTATGATTTGATGGGAAAACACCCCAACAAAAACAGAAAAGCAGTTTCTAGAGGATTGTACTGTACCAACAATAATCTATCACTGAGGACATGCCCCTAATAAGAGCAATCCTTGCAGATACACTGGTCTCTCTGCAACATCTGCACTTTTTGTCCTATAACAGTTTAAATAAATACTTTTTTATGGATTTGTGGTTAATGCTAGCATGAAATATGAAGTAAAAGCCTTATTTCTTCGCTTTGAACTCAGATGTGAAATTGCCACGACAGCACTAAATAAGAGGAACCTTACATCTGGAGTTACCTACGTAGGGTCCTGTTGAGAGTTACACTGTGCCCAATGTTGAAGGACACATGCAGACACTTGGCTCTCTTCCCTGGTCTCTTATTCCAGGGCAGTGTGTGATGCTACCCCCTTTGTTGCACAGCTGTGAAAGGTAGGGCACCATCTAACCACTGTAATTACTCACTGGCACCTGGCCTGGGAAGACCAGCTGGAAGGCAGCAGTAAGTTTTAGTCCCTTCAGTGTGGCTTAGGCTATAAAACAGTTTTCATCCCCTCCCACAACTGCTGTTCCTAGCCATGATTTAGGATAGCTGCCACAGACTCTACATCCTACTCTTCATATCCAAGGATTACTGAAAACCTTTCCCTGTCAGTGTAACAAAGGGAGAGCCCAGTTTGTGCTGACAGGCGGGCACAGCATCTCAGTAAGACGCATCCCCCTGTGGGGAAGCCCGTCCTCAAGAGAGATCCCTCCCTGCAAACACCACAGCCCCCGTACAAACAACACAAACTGGTTGCACCCTGAGTGTACAAAAGGAGAAGGTCCAGGTTCACGCTCTGCCTTCTTCTGGACCCCGATTTCCACTGGAAGGAGCCTTGTGCTCACGTGCAGGAGAGGAGCTGCAGTGCAGCCCAGCGGGTTCCTGCCTTAGCTGGCTGTGGCAGGAACGGCAGGAGCCAGAGGTGCATCCCTGCACCAGGGTACATCTTTTGGGTACCAACCCAAGTGTATTTCATAGCCATTCTTTGGTCTAAGGTTTATTGCTCAAAAGACAAGAGTCCCAAATCCTTTTGTTCAAAACTTGGCCATAGGCAGTAGCAGAGTCAGACACTTGTGCTAACACTTTTAACGCCCGCTGGAAAACAACCTTTCCTTCATGGTGCCTTGCAAGCAGCCAGGACAGCCCTTCATTTCACAGAAAGAGAAGCTGTTCCCAAATACTGCAAATGCTCAGTTGTGTCTAGTGTACTGACACATTTGTAAGACACCATTTGGTGTTTATGATGGCTTAAAATGCTGAGCACACTGGGTATCAGAATGCCTACACTGCTTTTATCATCAGTCACCTGCTGGGGGTCTATCAAACAGCCTGAGTGCTGAGGAAAAGGCTGCTTGTCCATTCCTGCCAAAACTAGAAGTGCTCTGTGGTACCAGGCTGTCCTTTGAAAAGACTGGGACATTAACAGCCCCATTTATCCACAGACTGCTAGACTACCTGCAAAGCTGAGCTGAGATGACTACATCTTCTCTAGTTAGACTAGCTATTACTGTAGAAGTGTTTACTTGGACACAGTTTTCCTTGTGGCATGCTTTAAAAGGAAATGTATTTTTCCCATGTCAAAATAAAGCTCTCCTCATATCCACACTCTCTTCTTGGAGCTTTAATTTAATCAGATTCTGTGAATCAGTGTGATGGAAAAAACTCATTACTTTGTAAATTCTATTCTAGTAATAAACCAAAGAACACTACTGTATGCAGAGATTTGTTTCAAGAAGACAGGAAAAAAGACTTTCATCTGCTCTTGAAGGGCATTGATTTCTTCCTGTAAGTGAGGGTGGAGGCAGCTTTCTCACCCCTTCATGATGCTGAGGTCTCATTCATGGCAGCTACAGCAGCCTCAAGGTCTCGCTGAGTTACAGATGCTGAAAGGACCCTCCAGGGTGATTAAAAATAAAAATCCACCACAGTGGCCAAACCTATCTCTTCTGATGAGCTTTCAAAAAGCTCAGTGCACTCGAGGAAGGCAGAGACGTAGCAGCGTGTGTGTAGGGGGGTGAGGACCCTGGACCCTTTCAAGTGAGGGCAGCGGAATATCTGCGCTACTGTCACGTTCAGCAGCTCAGAGCAGTTCCTTTGCTGGAGTCACATAAGCAGAGCAGCCCTGCTGGAAAATGAGAACCAGGACCAGAGAGTTTCCAAAGGGCAGTGGCTAGCTCTAACATCTGCTGCCAGTTTGTGGGAATTCTGTGGGGCCTTCAACCAGAAAATTCCTTAAAGTGACACGTCTGCCTACTGTCACAAGGTTACAGGCAAGTTCCTTCAAATCGGACCATTTTTTTCCTGCTCTGGTTATTTCTAACAAAATTTTGACTCCGATTCCATGTAGATCTGCAGTGTTGGTGCTTACCTTTCTTCTTTTGTCAGACCTGTCAATCTTCTACACTTCCGAGCAAGAATGAAGCTGTAGGGAGACCACAAACAATTTAGTTCCATTCTATTGCTATATTTCCTGCATTATTTAAAATGCCAATACTTTATGACGGGATGCTGTGATTCATAGCATGAGCTTTTGGTTCTCTATCCAAAATATCCATTTCACCTCTCTGCATAATGTTATATGCTCTGTCTGCTGCTTGCAAGGCTCACTGTGGAAGGAACCACTCAGATTCAGGTTAGTGTCTTTGTATGAGCTGTTTCCCACCAACCTTAACTTCATACAGCAGTGGGTGCAGGCAACAGCAACAAGGTGTGAAGCCTGGGATTAAACTGAAAATTAGTGTTTAATAAACTTTCTAAGACTCATCATACTCTCTGACTGTTTAAAATCACAGGAAAAAAAATAGAATTCTAGTATACATATTTTCATTTAAAGAACTGGAAGATTTTGGGGAGGCAAAATATTTGGAGAAAACTTTAGATTTCTGCAATCTTTTCTTCTCCTTCCTTTCCTCTTCTCCAATTTTTTACTTTGCCACACAAAAAGGCAAAAGATAATAGTGAGAAAAAACCCAACAGAATTTTTAAAAATTATCACTTGAAACATAGAAATTTTTTGAAAGAAAAGTCGTAGAACATGTACACCACACACTGAGAAACTGAACCCTTTAACTAGTTTGAAGTTTCTCCCTTCAAAAGTAGCCAGTTTTCTGTTGCAGTTGTTGCCTCTAAGACTAAAAGGACTTTTAACTAGACACTTCCTTTGTCTCTTACCCTATTATGGCAGGAAAGCTGCCATCAGGCTTAGTATCATCAAGTGTTAAACCAATTGCAGCATCCTCATCTTCAATGATCATGGTACCACAATACCCTGTTGACCATAATATTGGAAAGAAGTTAGGATCCATGTATCCAAATGCAGGAATCAGCTTCCACAAAGCTGTGTAATACTCAGAACTTGACTGGAAAAAGCCCTAAACAACCTGATCTAAATCCACCCTGCTTTGAGCAAGGCATGGGACTACATGACACCCAGAGGTCCCTCCCAATCTGTCTCTCTCTGACTCTAATACAGGGAGATATGAAAACGAAGAAAAGGAGAACAAAAAAAAAAATTAAGTGATCACCATCAAGTGACATAGTTTAGCACACAGCTCCCTTGCTGATCTGCAAGGCAGTGGATCCTCTCTGGATGAGGAAGTTTAGATCTGACACGTGCTGAGAGTTAACAATCCTTTTCAAGCATCTTTAAAACAGAAATTCAATAAAGGAATGTCCTATTGTTGAATTCATGATAGAAAAAGAATTATTCTGCAACCCAGAGGTAATTATTAATTGCCCAGAAACAAATTGCTCTCAGATACTGAAGATGTTCAAGTGCCTCTACCACAGTTGTTTCATAGATGACATTTATGTCAGACATAAAAGGAGATATTTGTGTGTTGTTTTGAAAACACAATTGTTCTTAAAAGAAGGGTTTGAAGAAAATAAGTTGTTCTTAAAAGAAGAACAATGGTGCTAGCAAAGCACAGTATGCAAACTATAGGTTCTATCAGGAAACAGGAGTCACCTCTTGCCAGCCCATCCCAAACCTAATAGCCAGAATATGCCAGGATCCAGAACTCTTAAAATCATTCACAAAGATGAAGGGTGGATGACATGTATAGACAAACACAGCTGTGGACTCATAACCAGTAATGAGAAGTGGGTGTTATTACATCGCAGTTTGTCTTAGATTTGGTAAGCTCTAAACGAGATCTGAGGAATCAAGATGGAAGTAGTCAGCATGTAAAGGGAGTCCAGGATGACTAGCCCAGCTGGGAATGTGTATGTGACAACACCTCCAATTACTCCTGCTCAGTGCACCCAGAAGGCAGAATCTTTGCAGGCTGATAACTGATGGGATAAAACCACTTCCCATCACACCTCACTGCTACCTTTACGTTACTGTACAAGTGGGAGAGACTCATCTCACACCTGGGTGCCACTGAAGGAAAAGGAGAGGGCAACAAAGAACAACCAAGGCAATAACCAACAGACATGAGCTCTCCCTTCACGCCTACCTCCTCCTTTTAATTCCCCCATCCACCCTCTCTTCCCAACCAATCTCTCAAGTTTCTCAAACTGGGGAAGGCAAAAATGGCACAGAAGAGTATGAAGTCCCCTTCTAAGGTCCAGAATCCTATAAACACAAAGCCTACTCCGTTACCATGTACCCTCTTCCCTCTCTCTGTCACTACTATTCCTTTCAATTAAAAGGTAATACCCTTCTTCCTCCAGAAAGTTTCCTTATAGTACACGATGCACTTGATGACTGAGCCCATGGGGATTCGGTTGATGAGCTGGTTTCTCATTGGGGGCAAAGGTGGGTTGAAATGAATCTTCAAACCAAGAGCCGGGGGAATGGCACTGATCACGTATTTGCCCTGGAAAAGAAATTATACATAAGCCCAATACATCCTCCACTACTTCATCCTACGTACAATGCTCTCTAACGATCTTGGCAGACATCTGGGGGGGCTGCAGGGCATATCTTCTGAAGCAATTTTGGCATTTAGCATAAGAATTGCAACACTGAACCCTCACAAAATCCTGCTTGTTGAACAACAAACAAGCATTATATAAACAGCCATCTGCTCGAATGATGGGCAGCTGCTCTTTCCCCAGCACTTAAAAAAGAGACACTGCGTTGTAAGAGCCCACTCGTCCCCCTTCCATCTGGACTCCGCTGTTACAACTTGGAAGCAATGCCTGCCGTGTTTTTCACGGAAAGCTCATTATTAAGTTGCGTTCTTGTGGTTACCTTACAATTATCCTTTAATTCAGAAGGTGACTGAACGCAAAGAGGAGATGCTAGCAAAGGAAGAGTTTGAACACACCCTTTGCTTCCCGAGCATCACTTTAAAGCTCTCTCATCGCTATTACTTTGGAACAATCCAAGAGTGTGACTTTCTGTCATAGTCACTTAAATCTCTGCTACATTTTTGTACAGGATTTTGGAGAATTCAAAAAGGCAAAGCTAAAGGTTTTCTAGCCATCCCAGCACAAACAGTTGCTTAAATGTTAGAGGTTTCATTACCTCATATAATTCATGATCCAGGGTTTCCACGATGACGCTTTCACCAGACTGGTCGATGCGGACGACTGGCCTCCTCAGCTTCACCCGGCCTCCCAGGCGCTCCATTATTTTCTCACTGATCTGGCCAGAGCCCCCGACAAACTTCCTCTCCTGAAACACAGGAAACAACAACTCAGCAAAGCGGACTCGGCAGAGCGGTCCTTGTTAAGTGTGTATCACACCAAACGATTCGCTTGGCATCTGAAACAAACTCCATTCTTCTGTTGTTATCAAAACTTTTTTGGGAAGTTTGGCATTCTCACCTGGAAAACAAATCCACATTACTTTCTTTGTCAGTGAACTCCTCAAATACTTCTCATATTTGACTACCAGCCAAAACTTGACGTATCAGTAGCCTCATGAGAAAACCCCTTCTCAGTGTGGTCTCCAAATGGATTCCAGAGACCTGTGTGAATCAGCAAGACGTCTGAAAAGTGCCTGAACTTTTAAACCTTTCTCTGAGTTCACTCGTGTCCCTACAGAGATCTGTGTATCAGAAGCAGGAACCCTGATCCTCATAGTAAATAACATGGTATAAGAAGTGAAGTAGCTCACACCAAAAACGTCTCATGCAGTATATAATCTAACCTAACTTCAGCGCAGATCACTTCTAACATAACACAGAATTCTAATAACACAGAATTCTAATAACATTTTATTCAACCTATTTGCAGTTCAATTATCTATAATTATTGCTTAACTATGCACATTTATGCATTCTAAGATGTTTTAATGCATTTGCATTTTTACTTATTTATTTATGATTAAACAATTTGCATTTCTAAAAGTATAATTATTTCTAACACAGTTAGTAAAATTTGCATTTCTCAAGTAGAAGACCATTAACAGAATCTTTACTTTCTTGAAATGCAGAAGCAGCAATAAGGTACCAGATTTCAAACATTTCAGAGCAATGTCATATTTAAGCAGGAGTGTTCATTTTCTTCAGACTGATTTTAAAGTCTCAACAGTTTTAATCCTTGGAAGCTTGCATTTTTAGGAATCCAGTTCTGGCCTACATTTTCAGTATTAATTTGGAGTGCTGCAGACTCCTCCAGCATTGCCATCTCCATTAAGTGCTTCTGAACTGGTAAGCTTGCTTCAGCCTCATGACACAAACAAGCATGAAGTAAAACCTTCTTTTTCCAACGTGGATAAGCAAAGTACGTGTTCTAACCAGAGCCCAAAAGGAGGCCAGTGTCAGGAACAGATACAACTACTGATCCCTGGACAAATGCCTTCAGAACAGGAACAGCCTTCAACACTAGTTTTGCAAGATCCAGATTAACGTGTAAATGAGTAGAACTAGTTATCAACATGCTGCTGGCTCAAAATCATGGATATGTCAGTTGGCCCTACGAACTAAAATAAAGCAGCCACAGAAGGTCACGTCTGACAGTACCTGTCCACCGTTGGTCGTTGAGAATATCCTTGTCGTCCCCCCACACTGCTTCACGTACCACAAAAACCAAAGGGCAGAGACCTCATGGGGTTCAGAAGTGACATCCACATTCACAAACAGAGTTGCGAAACTCTTGGCAGCACTGCGACGAAGACAAGTTGAGTTAATTTAAGAACTGAAGAAGGGTGACAAGACAGTCTTTGGCAACCTCTTCTTTCAATGTGGGCAAAGGATTCCTTCATTTCAGTTGAAGCAGGAAATTATCAATTCCTTTTACGCAACATTTTTCAAGTAAAGCTGCAAAAACATGTTAATGAAGCACTGCTGTTTTCCAGCCAAATTAGGCTCCAGGAGACAAGTGAGCCGATGAAAGCTTATGTCACTTTATGCTACTAAGGCAAAGTTGGCCTGCCATCCCAGACTCAGGATTAAGGGAAGCAAGCCCTCTTGTCTTCACTGGATTCCAAAACCACCATGTCCTCCTCCCATGGTTCCTGAGTTACATACAAGATCTTCAGCAGCTGCTGAATGCCTGTCCCTCAAGCATACAGCACTGAGATTATTCAACACCTGTCATAAAAAAAAGTTAGGGACCTTGTCTTAGCTAATTATCTAAGTTCCCTGGATTAGTCAGCATCCCCTCACTGCCCACCCCTCTGCTGTGCTCAGGGAGGGTGCTACAGCTGGAACACAACAAGGAGAGAAACACAAGTAGGAAGCTGAAAGTGAAGAGACAGCACGTACACAGAAAGGATCACAGCTTTATGTTCTCCAGTTGCTCCTTTCGTAACAACTCTACTGAAAATGACTGTACAAGATTTTGGGGTGCACTAAGACAGAGTTAATTAAGGCTCAGGGGAACACTCTTCCTGTTAGAAGTAAATAATTTCTTTGCCCTTAGGAGTTTAAAGGGACTTGGACAGGACCAGGAGATGCTCAGCTTAACTGCATTTGATTGACAGGGACTGAGATTCTATAGGTATTTCATATGCCAGGCATCAGGCTATCAATAACTTCGAAAGCTAGTACAGAATCCACTTTTAGTTGTTTCTTTCTTTTTTCAGTCTTTGAACTTTCAAAAAAAAAAAGTGTAACTCAAATATATTTTTTCAAACAGCTGTAGATCTACACAGAAAAAAAAATGCAGAGTCCCACTGAAATAAAAAGCTGATCCATTTTCTGAAATACAGATGCATTTGGGCTTTATTCTTGAGAGCCCAAAATAATACAGAAAATATTCATCATTTTTTTCTGTATAAACCCATACTGTAAATATGATCAACTTGGAAAGATAATGTCTAATGAGAGAATTAATATATGCATTTACTAATATTTCATAAGCATAAGCTATTAGAAGGTGGTTAAATTATCCTAGTTTCTGCTGCCTTCTGCCATTGCTTTTCACCACATCAGTTTCCCAGTTTCCCCTTGTATTTTACCTAGCAATGGCAGTATGATTTCAACCAAGAGCACTCAGGGTATTTCTAGCTTGCAACTTTAGCCAAAAGCAAATCTGTACAGTCTGCTGGATGAGGGGAAACAGTAGATGATTACCCTTCTGGGTCACTACCTTCCAGGGTGGGAAGTTTCTATGGCATGTTACCTAAATCTTGAACAAACTGGGCAAATCAAGTTGAGATGCACATATAAAATCTGAAAAGCAGCTCGGAATCAAGAGAGGCTGACAGTTATGCCAATGTTCAGGTAAAACGTCAAGTCTTATTCCATCAGAGTTTGAAAAAATATGACTGTAGTCACGTGAGCTATTGGATATCGAATGACTACCGGTGCGTGGCTTTTTGCTAACTTGCATAGTTCCTTACTAAATAAGAGGTTCAGCCAGCCAGCAGAAGTGCCAGCATACCTTTCTATTTGGTCTTACTGAATATGGACAGTGATACAAATGAGAAAGGCTTTCTATATGCTTTTGTGTGGTTGTCACACTTGTTAGAGCAAAACAACCAAAAGATTGAAAAGTTTTTGGACAAGAGCTGACTGTCCATTAACAAAGACCATGTTGCTCTTCAGAGGCTGGCTGAAGCCGTAAAGAAGCCCCTGTTGACAGCGGTGTCAGCTTGAGTGGGGGCTAGCAGGCTTCTGCACCAAGCTGCGTGTCAGGTGCTTAGCAATTCTGAAGAGGTTGCTGTAGAAATCAATCTGCTTTACAGCAAGGCAGAATTAATGGCTTGGGATTGTTTTTTTTTTTTTGCTTCAGTGCAAAGAAAACCAATCAAACTGTTGTTGAATAGCAAGTAAAGAAAAATTGCTTTGATGTATACATAAAAACAGGGAGCATTTTTGCTTTCCCTGGGTAGTATATAGTGCAGCAGTTAAACAATAGAATGATGGGTGTTGAAGTGATTTAGTGCTATTTCAACACAAATGTTATTTTCATAGTACTTTGGTAAAATCAGCTGGTCCAGCACAGAATAAATGTGTGATGTTCCATCAAAAGTTTGATCCAAAAGCCTGCTGTAGTCAGAACATTTGTCTCTTAAAAATTAAACACATAGTAAATAGAGGGAAAGTGAATATTACAGATGAAGGTATTACCTATGCCTGCAGAAGCAGCCCTCCCCAAATACATTTTCCTTTTATCTTTTAGTCTAAAACGTTATAAAAATATAACAGAATATACTGTGTGTGTTGACAGGTGTTGCGGTCCATTATTACAAGATTTTCCTCATGCCATTTCTATACAAATGCTGTATTCTAGTGGTAGCTTTATCTGTTTTCAAAGTAGTAATGACTATTTGTAGCTCTAAGGTATATAAATATAAGTGTTATATTTCATATTAAAGAGTTTCTTACTTTGTCCAGCAAGTTTTATCTATGAAATCTTGCATAGTCATTTTGTCCCATTCTTCTGCATGTGGAGCCTTCCATGGGGCTTCACTGGGAATCTAAGAGGACATAAAAGAGCATTCATCAGCAAATAAATTAATAGCATAAGAAAGAGACAACAAATACAATCTCATCTGTACGTGGCAATTCAGGCTGCAAATGCCTGGCAGGTAATACAGTGAACTTCACAGAGGATGCTTTTAGTTTTTTGTTGTTTCTTTTGTTTAATGTTTTATTTTTTTAGATTTAAGAATAGTTAATAATTTCAGCATTAAGAACTTGGCCTGGAAAGGCAAAGTACAGAGACAGGGAATGTCTCTGAGTTACTCCATATACTTCCCATCCACCTATGCAACTAACAGAACATCTTCTCAAAGTCTTGAGGCTCAGTAAAGGGAAAACATACACTACTGGCAATAAACTAAAATGGTTGAATTGAATTTGAGGGTGGAAAAGGACATATGTTTGAGGTCTACAAGACTCTTAAAATATTACTTACCCAACTGTCAGGCAAAATGCTAAAAATCACATGCATAAACCCTAACGTTCGTATATCCAGAAAAAGGAAGGTATGACTGCAGACAGCCTCAGCAGCATGGCCTTCAGAAAAGCTTGCCAGGATGCCACCTATAACATGTGCTCTGGCCATTGGTGCATACCAAAATGCATGGCATGATGCTGTTCTTGCCAGCACCGGGTTTGTTCAAGGTAGAGCAGCTTGGCCTATCTGCACCCTAGTCCGGTCTTCACTTAGCTCCTCACAGAGACAAAGCTGAGCTGAGATGGTCAGCTGCAATTCCACATATCATACCTCCTTTCCCATTTCATCCATGGTCCTCCACAGGTTGTTGTAGTCCAGGTAGGCCAAAGGATTCCACATAGGAGGGAATGGTCCTTTAAAGGGGTAAGACTTACCCTACAAGATGAAAAACAAACAAAAACATCGTAAAAACTAAATACAACCACGGTCATGGCTCTGTGTGTGGGAAGCTGCACCAAATGGTTAAGTGGTCACTGGAAGAAAGCTTAATCAACACATGTAACAGCCTCTGAGAGCTCATGCCTGCGTGTGCACGTTTAACAAGAAACAGGCACAACATGAAACACAGGAGCTTCCATCTGAATGTAAGGAAACACATTTTTCAGTGGGAGGGTGACCAAGTTCTGGGCCAGAGAGGTGGTGGAGTCTTCATCCTTAGAGATACTCAAGAGCCACCTGGACATGGTCCTAGGCAACTGGCTCTAAGCGGCCTTGCTTGGGCAGCGGGGTTGGACCAAATGGTGCCTTCCAGCCTCAACCTTTCTGTGATCCTGTTATTCTAGATGTGCAACTTAACTGACTTAGTTCAGCTGTGTATCACGCTTACGTGCAGAACTGATACTGCCTTGTGTTTTCAAAGCTTTAAACTAAGTGCTTCTGGGCAACAAAACCAGTAACCTGCAGTACCGTCACTAAGATTAGACCAAAAAATGGGATGGAATAGCATTGCTCAACTAGGATGAAAAATTGGCTATTTGTTACTAAAATGGAGCAAGTGTTATATATTTTTCTTCTCAATGTTCACAAAAAGACTGAACTGTCAGTTGCATTTAGTGATTTGGTGGGTTTTTTCTTTCAAAATCAGACAAAAGCTGCTGTGATGAACTTTATTATACACCAAAATCATAGTTCAGAGACCCTCCTGGGGGGGGAAAAAGAAAAGTTTCAGCTAACCCCAAAATCCTCAGCCTTACAGAAAATGTAGCATTTACTAATAATGAGTCACTCTTCCAATGCAACACATCTGGCCATAAATTCCAGAGAGTGGTAGTGTGGCCAATACAAATGTCCTAATCATATTTTTGTATATTAACAGTTAGATCTTGTATACCTATATCTCCGCTACTACATATTCAGAAAGTCTAGCTGAATTTAGAGTGGAAGACGACAGGTAAATTGTAAAGCTACTTTCTTTACATAGGATTTCCCTGGCTGACTATATGGGTGGCAGCATAACAGCTTTAAAAATTCACAAAGAAATACTCATTAGCATTATGTGGTTACTCTTTTTTTTTTTCCTCAATGCATTCTGGACTCCATAAACCAGATAAAACAATAAAGACCATATTGTGTACCACAGATGATTTTTCAAAGCTTATATTGAATTATGTATTTAAGTGGGCATTGCCTCAACATGAATGTCAATTGGTAGAAGCACTAACTTTTAATAGATATTTGATGCAGTGCTGCACCAACCCATCACTGAAAAAAAAAAATTTACACTGGCTTTAAAAGAAATACTGCATCAAGATTTAATATTTAGAACCAGGTAACAACACCACCACTGTGTCTTCTTGACAAGAATTATCCAAAGACCACTTACTCTAAGAAGTAACTCCATATGTCAGCAAGAAAAGTCAGTTTTACGGTGCCTTCTTTTGAACACTGGAGCCACCGTTCACATGTGTAAACACAGTGTAGGTATTCCAAAGACAGAGCATTTCAGTTTGGTTTTAAGTATCTAGCATTACCCAGATTTAGATTTATGAAACACATACTGCTGTGCTCAAGAAAACCAGGACAGCATCAGAATGGGTTATTCCCATTAATTGATTCTGTTCTGAGCTTCCTGCTCTGCCAGAGGCAATCCTAACTGAGTTATCCCCTCTGAGTTAACTCAAGCCTTATGAATTCCCTGTGGTGCTTCCTCATGAGCACACAGCTAAGAGACACACAAAACAAAGATATGTTTTAGTATTCTTCTGTTTCACTGCATTTGAGCTGCTGAAAGGGAAAACTTGGGTATGTCTCTTGTGCAGAAATCTGGGGTGACAAGTATAAAAGCAGAAGAACAAACTTCAACCTGGAAAAATAAGACAAATCATAGAAGTGAGGGAGTCTCCCGTGAAAGTTACTTTCAATAGCTCCAAAGGCATTATCCTAAGGTTTGATCCTTATTTCCTACACAGACAAAACTTCAGGAGCTGTCAACCAGAATTTTGTTTGAGAAGAAACTACAAGACTAGGCTCTACACAGAAACAAAAATAGCACCAAAGAAAGACTACACATAGCTCCGAGTAGTTGCCAAACTGAAATATTTCAGCTCTACTTCTGATGAATTTGCACTTTTGCAAAAACAACCACCTTATTGATACTTAGGCAAAATTTGCCTATTTCTACCATACTGCTGGGAACAGTATTCTCCTGGTGCTGTATAATCTCTAAAGAAAAACAAGACAGTTGAAAAATACACCCCAAGATGCACAAAACATTTCTTCAAATATTTTTCATACCTAAATCAGAGCAGTATAAAACCAGAAATCATAACTACCCCTTCTGATCACTGGACTTATTTCAACAGCAGCACTATAATGCTCAGAAGTATTTATTACTCTTTTTTTTTTTAGGGCTTAGTGGTATTTAACACAGGCATGTATGGTTTTTAGAAGCTGTTTCATGATGCCATTTGCAATGCTTCCAAAAGCGGAATACCAGCATCAGCAGCTGGAGGTCCACTTGCTATTGTAGGGGTCACTTGCTGCTTACAAAGGCCTTTGCTGCGGTATGGGCTAAAGCATACTGAAGAAACCGAAACTATTGGGAGGAAATTTATACAAACACAGCTGTCTCAGGAATAAGCAAACAACTATTTGTCACAAATACTACAATTCCCAATAGATTTTCTCATCCATTTGTTTCACATCAACCAACGCTTGGCTTAGTTACACTGGACCCATGAAATGTCATCAGTATCTCAATACAGAGTGGGATCTCAGGAGAAAGTCTGCTTTTGCAGGCACAAGACAACTTCATGCTGCCCTAAACATTATGTAGAGCCCAGTGGGATACCCTGTGGTGAACTAAAACACCTGGTGCCAATGACCTACACAATTTTTATAGCATGGTATAAGCATCTTCTAAATATAGTCAGCTATCACTGGAAGAAAGAAGATGGTGTGGCGCATTCTCTGCATCACTGCATGAGCACAGATACTCCCTCAACTAGATCATCTAAACCTTGGAGTAACTGATGCTAACTTCACCAAGATGTCACTCTGCATGTTAATTCGCAGCTGCATTGGTTTATAAGCACGTAGTGCCCTCTGCTGATTCAAAGCATTGGTACATCACACGCACCTCCTCTCAGCTTAAAATCCTTGTAACGTCATTCATATAAAGCACAGAAACGGTAAGATCCAAAGTTCTGGGAAGGAAAATGAGAAATAGAAAAGCATCATTTCAGGCTCTAACTCCATACCTGTCTCAGATACTCAGTTTCTCGCCTGCTGCCCTGCGGAAAACCATCCTTTTGGTGTGTTTTGTGTGGGCTGTATTTGGTTTTTTTTTTTTAATACACAGCATCTTACTATACGTGTCTTTGGGACTGAGCCAACAGTGTAATCGTAATTCTCAATAAAACATGGCAACTAGCCGGACCAAGCTGAGAGAGATATACAGGCCTACTCAGAAAACTGTAAGGGTGTTGAGCCTCCCTGAAGTTGCCTTCTTTGAGAAACTGTTCAGGAACTCAGACTCAGCTGGTTACTATACTGATAGATCTCTTAAAGGTAAAGAGATATATAGGTTAGAAAATATAAATGCAGCACAAGAAAATCTGGATAACTAATGGTGCAAAGACACAATATTAAGACATGCCAAAATATCCTCCAAATATCTTTCAGTATGTGATTTGAGATCATCAGCTGTGGATGCCAGAGTGTTTTGTGAAATTTGGTCAGCAAAATTAATTCCATTTTAAGTGTAGCATAGCCAGACACATTGGCTTGAAACATGCATCTGGCAAAGGAAAGGAGCTAATTGGGAACAATTTGTTTCTGCCATATTACAGAAATAAAGTCCATCTTCACTCTGCCACAACTTCAGTCACAGAATTGCTGGAATACTTGTCATATCCACAAAAAGCCAGAATCAGAGAAACACCACCACAAGTGATTTAAAAGGGGAAATTGAGGTTCTGCTCTGAATTTAAAAGGAAATATAAGTATTTGTTCCAGTCAGCTGAGAAAAGAGTTAACTAAGTTTCCTTCCTACTAGATTGGGATTTTTTGTTTTCGGACACTAAACACCACCTTTACATAAAGCATTCAGGTATCTTACCAAGCACAGATTTATAGGGACTGCAGTTCTAAACACTCTTTGAAAGGAGACCTGCTTGTGGCTTTCAACACTGACAGAAAACCTGACAATGAAGTGGATAAAGCCAATAGAAAACTTTTTAGTATTTCTAGAATTAGTCTTTAAAAAACCTCTTTCCCGTCCTAAAAGTAGATAAATGGGCAAAAACTCCCTTCCTAAAAGTAGATAAATGGGCAAAAACAAATGAAGACAGGAGAAAAGGAGAGTTTCATTTGGGAGAAGACCATCAAACAAGCTCTGCCCACAGATAATGCATCCAAGCAGACAGGGCACACACATTCTTTCACAACTAAAACACTGTCTTTAAAGCAGAAGACAATGTTGAGCTCACTATTTTTGTTTCTGAGATACTCCAGGTTACTTAATATCTTACCTAAAGAAAAAGAAACCTTATATAAAGTTTTACATACTTGTGAAAGCCAGTAAGCTCAGCCAGCTGTTCCTGTATGCAATACACATTTCTCTAATTTTGTTTTTCTGTAGACCTCAATCAACTTCTCAAGGGAAACAAAAATCATTCTTACAATCAGATGCAATTGAAGCTTTTCTCCCAGCAGCCTGAATTAAATAAGCTAGGTGGGAGCACAGCTCCTTTTCCTTATCTCCTAGGGAACAGACCCTGGGATCTGGCAGAGCTAAGACTGAGGAATTTTCTTCCTATTCAGATTTAATTAAGAAATGCATATTTTATTTCCAGTTCAGTTTTCTTACTACTTTCATCCTCATCCTACCATTAGGTCACAGCTGCCAGTCTTCCTGATCGACACATGTCCCTTGCAAGACCTTTCTTTACAGTCCCCTTTGACAGAGATCACTTTGCAGATTTGCTGTACCTAATCTCATTTCTTTTAGACCACCGTAATACAAATATTATCTATCATTAAATTAAAAATGCCTAATTACAAACTTACTTCTTGCAAGTACCGCCAGGCGGCTGGCACAAAAAAGGGAAGATGCCCCTTTATTTACAGAGCAGGTCCAACGAGACCGAAACCTATAGTCCTGCCAATGCCTGCTCTTCATTCACAGCGCGGAAGATATCCCTTGTGGGAGTCTAGAGGATGCTTTCAGCAACCTCAGCCTATTCAGTCCTCAGACTCGCTTTTGAGGCTACCAGCGAGTATGATGAATCGCACGGCATCTTGCGACAGGAATTCCTGCATCCTCGTATCTTGTAAAGAGTAAAACCAAGATCTGCATTCCAGTAATGGCATGTGAAACTATCAAGGCCCTGTAGTAATTTAAGCATCTCTGAATTTACTTGGCTTTCTTTTCAAGACACCAGATGCCCAGCTTCTTAAAGATGCAGATGTATTCTTTTCAGTTCCCCAAGTTCTTGCTTACAAATTGTCAGCAAAAAGAAAAAAAACAAAAGATGTGATGTCATTTCGCTTCATTTAAATTGATGGCAACTGAGAGTCTCACAGACTTTTCATTCTCTGGCTGCACTCTAATTAAGATACACAAAGAAAAATGAAAGCACTTTTATCTAGTCATTCAAAAATCCATTTAAGCTGTTACGGTCTATATTACAGACTATGCCAGGAGATTCTGCCCTTAGATTTGCATAGAAGCAGGTCAAAAGCTTAAATAAATCATATTGCCTAGCTTCAGTGCCTATATCACTGATATCACAGAAGAAACAACACTGAATTCTGTAACTTTAGATACAGCAGTCATTTATCCAGCTGCTAATTAAATCCCAATACAACACAACCATCACATTTTTTATTCATGAACAAGGGCACAGCAAACTGCATTTTAATAAGCACAACAGTACTGAAAATGAATGACACCCAAGAGGGCTGTAAAATTTTTTCCTGCACATCTACAGTAGACCAGTATGTAACCTGTTAACTTTAGTGCAGATCTGTGGTCTAGTTAAAGGCATTGCCTGGATAAGACTAAATATTCACCTTCAGTGAGGTGCTGCAGGCTGGATTCACATTAGCCTTCTCCCCAGAGATGCTGACTGTATCTAACCGTACAAAAGTGATGCTAAACTTGAGGAGGGCATGACATGCATTCAGACACCTCTAGCCAGTGCTGCCTGCAGATGAATGAGTATGAGGAAACTCCATCCTCTTAGGGGGACCTTAATTGAAGCAACGTGGTATTGGCAAGTCACTGTCAAAAACCTGTGGGAGGGGATGCCTTCTGTTTCACCCAGCATTTTAACCTGAAAGACTCACACACACCCCACCCCCTTTCCCCCCTGCCCACCTAGATGTGTGCAATGCCAAGCATGCCTTTTGGTGCTACAGAAACAACTGGAAGGACTTAACAAATCACAGAATGGTTTGGG